AAGGGGGGGTGTTGGGGCTGGGGGATGCCGGGGCAGGGTGCTGCGTGCTGCTCCGCCACACTGCTTTCCCGGCTGCCTCCTGCTTTTGTCCAGAGAGCGCCCACATCCCTGCGTCAGGAGCCTGACCTCCTCCTGCCTGCTCTGTTTGTTTTCACTAAGTGCCTCCTAATTTTTTTCCACAAAGAGCCGGTGCCTGCCAAGGGGCATGCAGGTCAGCGCTCATTACGGCAGGAAACGCGTCCAGCCACCGGCGCTGACAAACAACCCTACACAAACAGAAAGGGTCACACGAACCAACACCAGGACAGGTGGCAACCCTGCTCCTACCTGGCGAGAGCAGCCCTACCTACCGTAAGGGACCGGGGGACGGTAGCCACTTGTGCAGCCACCGGGCTGGCACAGCACAGCTCTAACCACCTCCTGGAGGAGTCCCCTGAGGTTTTTAGCCTGGCCACCAGCTCAGTGGCTGCACAGCCTGGGGGACCGGGGAAAGGAGGAGCAATGCAGACCCTTGGCGTAAGGACTTCCATTTTGTCCCTGGGCAGTCCGTCTCATCCCCTTGGAAGCAATGTGTAAGCGGAAGGAGCAAGATAACAAGGAGTGGGCTTGACAAACCACAGGCTGGCACCTCTGAGCAGGTACAAACAAGAGATGGCACAATTTTAATTGCCCATTTGCACCAGACAAAGGCCTTGACAGACACTAAGTGACACCTGCAGTACTAGGCCATGCGCAATCCCATTGTCAGCCAAGCCCTGGAAGCCCATGGCAGGGCCAGCCATCACCAAAACCGCCTAACCCCTGCAGAAAAACTTGCACTGCAGGACAGCCACACCTGCAGGCAGACATTTGTCACCAGGCTTTGGAGATCTCCCTACTCTCCCTTCCCATGCATCGCCTTTTCTCCTGCTTCTGCTGCCTTCATAGAATAGAATCATAGAATGTTTTGGGTGGGAAGAGACCCCTAGAGCCCACCCAGCCCAACCCCCCTGCAGGGACACCGCTAACCACATCAGGGTGCTCACAGCCCCGGCCAACCTGGCCTGGAATGTTCCCAGGGATGGGGCCTCCACCCCCTCTCTGGGCAACCCCTGCCAGGGTTTCACCACCCTCAGTGGAAAGAAGTTCTTCCTTACATCCAGTCTAAACCTACCCTGGTTTAGTTTAAAACCATCCCCCCTTGTCCTGTCCCAGCTGGCCCTACTAAAAAGCTTGTCCCCCCCTTTCCTCTGGGCCCCCTTTAAGCCCTGACCGGCCGCACTCAGCTCTGCCCGCAGCCTTCTCTTCTCCAGGCTGAACAAGCCCACGGTGAGCACAGCGTATGCTCGGCTTTACGCTCAAGAGCAATTTCCCGGTGCTGGATAGGCACGCTATGGGTTTATACCCCAAAACACCAGCTCTTTAAAGAAAAGCCCTTCGTGCCACACCAAGCCGTAGAGCACCGCCCTTGCAGTCCCTGGACAAGGGGCTGCCAGCAGTGAGCACCCCGTGCCCTCCTGCCCGCCACTTGTCGGGGATCACTTTGCAAGGATAAGGTCAGCACTTCCTCCGAGCTTGGCCAAGACGGGGCAGGGCCAGGTTCCTCGCCAGGCTTCACCCCATCCCCTCCATCCGCTCGCCCCCCTGGGTGACCCCAGAGCCCTCCCAGCCGGAAGGCTGATCTGGGGGCCCATCAAGGTTTACTTGCAGGCAAGGGAACAAGCCCAGCATGGGTGTGCGAGTCACATGAAGCCCCGGTGGCCGTGACTCAGCTGGAGGATGGGAGACGCTCCGAGACCATCCCTTTCATGAGATTACACACGCGTGCAGGAACTCTAACCACGCCGTTCCGGGTCCTCCTGCTTCGTGCCGGGGTCCGGGGAACCAGCCTCCCGGGCAGCGTCCTGCCTGCCTCCACCTTCAGCCACCAGCTGCGAGGACACGTGCTGGTATTTCACAAGACGTACGAGTACGCGCGACTGCGCACCATCACTGCGGCGCTGGGACAAATGCAAAGCCCTCCCAAAATAAGGGCAGGTACCCTGGGTCAAATCAGAGGCTGGTCTAGCGCAAAAGCTTGTCTCCATCAGAGGGAAAAAGCAAATGCCAAGAAAGGGTAAGAGTGGGATAGGTGTAGACTAACCCCCATCCCCCCCTTCGGCAGCCTCTGAGCGAGGGCAGCACCTCTCCCCCCACGCAGGACCTCGGCCGGGGCTCCTTCGCCATCAAAGGGCGGATGAAGATTGGACTGGCTTCTCCATGCCAGCCACGGCTTTACAGGCCTGGATTGTATCCACCCTACAGCACGTTTTCCAAACAGAGGAATTCTAGCTCACTTAGTCATCCAGGCACAGCTCCACGCCTTTCGTCCTCCTTGCTGCTTTCCTCCCAACCTTTCCCAGCTCCCCTCGACCCTTCCAAAGATGCCGGAGCTGCGGGCACGCAGGGACCGCGAGGGGGTGAGTGGTGAATTTGAAGAGCAGCACAAGGCTTTCCTGGCTTTGTTTCTGCTTTGTCACTCACAAAGATGTTTTGATGTATTTTTAGGCACACTGAGGTATCCGAAACAGCCCCAGGCCTTGCTGTGAGTGGCCAGGTCAGTGTGTAATCTTGTTTGCAAAGTTGGGGCTCCCTGCCCACTGCTCGTCTATCACTTGATATTGATCTAAACTTAATTTCATCTGCCTGCTGCCCGGTGTTGTAATGGTCGTCTGTACTCTTCCTAGTTGGCACTTCTCCCTATGAACCCGAGTAATCCAATCGCCTCAGCAAGCCCCGTCATCTCATTGCTCATTCTCTTTTCCAGGTCACTCACGAACGCGTTGAAAGAACGTGGAACCCAACGCGGCGATCTCTTTCCACCGCAAAAACTGACTGCTGACTCCTACACCCTCCTTCCTATTTTCATACCAATTACAGAGCCAGCCGAGGACCTTCCCGCTTGACCAGCCACTTCCCTTAAAAACTGGGCTGAAAGCCTCGGATGCATGTTTTTTGGGAAGCAGCATGGGCACCACAAGCCCAGAGTCCCTGCAAAGCACTGCCCCAACTTGGGGGCCCCTCGGCAGGAGCCTCCCTCCCTCCCCACGGACCCCGTCCCCGCGCAGGCGCCCGGGTCACGCAGCAGATTCACCGGTCAGCCTTTCCCTGAAGTTCCCTCCAGCCCTTCTTAGAAATGAACGTCACATCTTTTCCCCCACCCAGTCTCCGGGGGCTGGGGCAGTTTTGAATGAATGACTAGAGGCCAACATGTGACAGCCAGCCGCTTCACCCTCCCTTTCCTTTCGGTGGACGTCGCCTTGCCCTAGTGACTTGTTTGCTGTTTACCCTTGCTTTCTAACCTTTCCTCTGCGGGTGCTCTGAGGAGCCCCCCTAAAAGAAGGTGGAAGAAACCACTCAGGCTTTTCTGGAGCGGACAGAGAGGCAAAAGCTTCATCTGGCTTTTCTGCTATGGCCTCTTTTCCTCCGATCCCCCGTCCCTCCAACGGACTGCGGCCGGCTTTCTACTCCTGATGTGCTTTGCAAGCAGTTTCCATCAGAAAGCCGATAGCACTTCCTATTATTCTTCTTGTTCTCCTTTCCTAGCCCTGCCTCTCCGCAAACAAAAAGCCTTGCTGCACCATCCGTGCCCCCCAGCACTGCTCCTGCATGGGTCCTGCGGAGGGAGCTTGGTGAGGCAGTGGGGTGGGGGCATTTCTGCCTCCCCCTTGCCTCGCTGCATGCAGACGGACCCCTCTGCATCGCCAGGGCTTGGCAGGCAGAAAAAAAAAAACCTCTTGCAAGGCAGGCAGCCTGTGCAGCGCCCTTAACCACACGGTGAGCAGCAGCAGCGCCTCCTCAGCACCTCCCCAGGATGCGTCCCAGCCTTGGGTGCTGTTTCTGACCCTGAGCCTGCTTCACCTTGCTCCTTCTGCTCCCCTGTTGGCAGCTCTAGACCCTCTCTGCCTTCAGGCTTGCAGCCACCACGCAAAGTCCTTGCAGATCAGAAGCCACAGAGGCCGTCCCCGCTCCCAGCACCCGCTGGGATAACCCCGTTATCTCGGCTGCCGGGTGGCGCGGGGAGGCATGGGGGGAGCATTCAGCCCCACAGCCTGTTTTGACACCAGCCATCTGCAAAGTCCCTTATCTGGAGAGTTCCAGGAGCCCGGAGAGGCTCCCCGGGGGGCCCTTGCTCAGGCAGGTAAAGCAACCTGGCTGGACGCCAAATTCTCCAGGGCCCGGTGGGACTCTTGCACTGTCCCTGGAAGAGCTTCCCACCAGGGAGAGGGAAGCAGGCAGTGATGGGGCAGAGCCAGCCATAAAACTCCTCCAGGCAACACAGCTGGGATTCTTCCACCCAACACGGAGTCCCACGAGGCTGTGGGCATCCACCTCCCCACGGGGGCTGCTGAGTGGGTTTCCAGCCCTGACACATCACTGGCCAGATACCAACAAGGGGTCCCTAGCGATGGCAGCCCCATGATGAACACACACACCTCTCTCCCCAGCACATGGTGAGTTCCCAAGCCCAGACATGCCTGGTCCCCAAGCCAGAGAAAACCCCTCCAGGCACCCATGCAACCCCCCGGAGCGGAGATGGGTGCACGTGCTCAGCGTCCCATCAAACACTGCAGGGAGACATTTTAATGTCACAGCAAGAAGCTTACCAGAGGGTCAGGCTGGTCCCAGAACCTTGCCACCACAGGCCACAGGACTGTGGGGATGGTGCAGCCTTGGGAGAAGCAGGAAAAGCTCCGCGAATGTTGGAGCAAGTCACTTGATCCAAGGCTGGTGGTTTGGGGGTGCAGGAGGAGATACAGCGCCCGGGGGGGCAGGAGCTAAGGGGGGGACGTCATTTCTGAGGAGGTGTCAGAGGGGGAGAGATAAGCTGCTCTCAGAAACCTGTTTGCAGAGGCAGAACTCGTAGCGACTCTTCCAAGGAGCTGGCTTCCCTGGACGCACCCGCTCCG